TACACATTAAAAAACCAAACAAAACCACCTTCTGAAAGGTTTGGTTATTTGGTTTGATCCAGATAACTAGACAGCTAATTTATCTATATTTGGTACAGTTCAGCCCCTACCACAGCTCTAGTTTTTAGTTTGAAACTATGATGGGTTTTTTTCAGATTTTTGGAACTACTTGGACATTGTTTGTTAGTTACTGTAAAGAGCTTGAGTCTCTACAGAGTTGTGCAGTTGTTATAGAGACCCTCTCTTGAGAACTAGGTGATCTCCACAGATCTTGTAAGGTGCTTCCATAGTTGTGGGGTTTTTTTGTTTAAAACAAAGACTTGGCCTCTGGTAATGGTCATAACCACTTCTTGGTAAGGAAAAGAAAACATCCAAAATGTGAACTAGAATTAAAAAGATTGACTGGCTTAAAAAAAAAGACAAACCAAAAACCAAGCCAAAACCCAGTGCTGTTTGTCCTTTGCTTACCTCTATGTAGAAATGTATTATTTTATTGAACTGTTTTGATTTTTTTCTTGATTGCTAATGCCTTAAGTGAGCTTAGTCCTGATTCTCTGTAATGTGAGCCAGAGAGCAGCTTCAGGACAAGGATTATGGTTAACTTAGAAATTGCTCAGTATTTGCAAGGCACAGCTGCTGACTCTGTAAAAGAGATTTGTAGTGTGAGGGAGAGGTGCAAGTTCTTTTCATTCAAGGAAGAATCCTTGTTCATCTCTTGAAATCCTCATCAGTCCGATTACATGCTTTGTCTTCTGGAAATCTTTTTATGACATCAGATTAATAGGTAGGAATAGGGCAATATAATGCTTTGAACATTAGGTGATGAGTGACATGAGGAAATTACATGAAGTCACCTGAAGGTTTAGGTAACTTTGGTAAGAATTTTAACTGTTGTTAGGTCATTAGCATAACTTAATTCTTTTGAGTTGAAATCACATTTTTGCTCCATAAAGTAGAGGAGACTGGTGTGGATTTCAAGGTATTTGTAATAGTTCTTTATTATCATCCAAAACCAGAAAGGATTTTTACTCCAAATGATTGCAGTATCACGTATCTTCTTAAAAGCCCTAAGAGTGTAGATTATTGCTGTAGCTTTTGGGGTTGCGAGGTTGGGGGATTTTAACACTAGTTTCCCTCAGTGGACTAATCCCATTCTCTCCTCCTTTATACTTTTTCAGGGATCCAGAGCTTCTGTAAGGACTTACTAGAAGTTGCAGACATTTTGGAGAAAGCAACAGAAAGCGTTCCAAAAGAAGAAATTAAGGATGAAAACCCTCACTTGAAGAACTTATATGAAGGTCTTGTGATGACAGAAATACAGATTCAGAAAGTGTTTAAAAAGCATGGCCTGCTCAGACTGGACCCTGTCGGAGCCAAGTTCGATCCCTATGAACACGAAGCGCTGTTCCATGCTCCCGTGGAGGGGCAGGAGCCTGGCACTATCGCGCTGGTATCCAAGGTTGGCTATAAGCTGCACGGGCGCACGCTGCGGCCCGCCCTGGTGGGTGTTGTGAAAGACGCTTAGCTGCTCAAGCTGAGAGTTTCAAATGCCATACAACTATTAAACAGCTGGATGGTTTTTCTCTCACACCATGCTTCCCTCGTTCCTCTGCTCCCTGAGAGGTTTAAATGAGTTGGTTGAGGTCTCCCAGTGAAAATGAAGTAACCGATGAAATTCTCATACTTAGTGGCCTTCAACATCACTGTTCCATAAGCTCTTCTTCAGTGTGAACTACAAGAGCCATTAATTAAGCCCTCCAATGCTTTAGATTAGATAACGTTATTTTACAACTATTGCTCCTGAGAAGGTGAATTAAATTGGAAATAATGAAATGCTCACAAGAGTGTTGCAATTTCAGGTTTATCACTGTGTGTAGATTGAAAATGCAGATAGTGGTTCAAACACTTCTTTGGTTTTGTACAGTCTCACATTGCAGAAGTGGGTGATATAATACAACCAACCTGCTTTCTGCAAGCACCCATCAGCTTTTACACACTGATGTGAGAAATGCCCTGTTTTGTCTATTCAAAAATAATCTCTCAACACCTGAAACCTGTGTGAATTCTGACCTGTAAATAAATGGCAATGGAGATTAGATATCTTTTGTAATTATTCAGCCTTTTTGTCCTGTACTAACATTGAATCAAGAAAACCATCCAATACTTGTATGGCATTGAAGAATCACTAGAATTTATCCTATCTCTGGATTTTTAATTTAATGTTGTATAAATTGGTTTAAACTATTTTTATAGTCTTGTAATTTCCAGCTTTGAAATCAGTTTGTTATGCAAACTGTACTTGCAATCCTGCTGAGAGCCAGAACACCCAAAGAAGTGAGTTGCTGACAGTTTGGTATATGATTTCTTTTAGACTTACATAAATAATTGCATGTAAGTGGCTCAAACGAAAGTGTGAACTTAGTTTCATTTTCATTATTTCTTACTCAGCATGGATCTTGGGTTGAACCAGAACTTTTCCCCATTCAGCTCTTGCCATGTCTAACTACTGCTGCTCCCAATCCTGCAGAATCAGCCTAAAATATAATACATGATTCAACAACTGAATGACATTTGTCTGGTCACCTGGATATAGGAGTGGGTGGAACCTGGCAAATTACGCAACTGACAAAGGATCCCTCCTCTTGTATCCTGAAAGCCCACACTGTTAACACACAGGACAGAATATTCAAACTTAGGGAAGTTATTAGGCCCTGTAAAAAGTACTTCTGAATTTTTTACCATGTTTCTGGTTGTTGTGGATTAAGGAGCTTCTTACCTTAAAGTCAGGTATTGATATTTTTTGTGGTTCAGATGCAGAGTTGCCAAGAGCTTACTGAATACTGGACCTACTCATTGTGAGAAGTGATTACTCATTCCTTAAGACATTTTTCCCAGTGCTGGTTTCCTTCATGGGAATTAAACAGTTAACCAGGAACAGCCTAAGTGCATAAAACTGGAGGTTAGCCATGTTAGACATCTTCTTTCTTTCTCAACTCTTAGAAAGAATGCTTCAACTGGGCAGGGGCAGGAGAGTAATTTTTTGATGTGTGAAGACAACTACAATGTTAATTTTTTTTAAACTAATCAAGTACAGGGAAAAAATGCAAAGATGGAGTTTAAAAATACAGGGGAAAATAGGGGATTCCATATACTGAAGTTGAATTTGGAAGTATCTTTCCTCCATCTGGGTTTAAGAGCACACTGTAGTTGTGTGAATTAGGATTGAAGAAATGGTTTTGTTGCACTTTGCTTGGGACCTGTTCTCACAAGTGATGTCAAAAAGGGACCATTTTATGTACCTTTTAATAACTGTCATGTGTTGTTTTGTCCCTTCCCAAACCCTCTGGATCTAAACTAAATGTAATAAGGTCCTTAATATAGAAGTTTTTCCAAAAGGGAGTTAAAACGGAGGCACACTTTATTCCCTAGCAGATGAAGATTTTGTTACCGAGCTTCCCAGTGCTTCACACACACTGTCATTTTTGGACTACATCAATTCATTCAGGTGTTCTTAAACACAAGGTCCTGTTAAATGTTCAGCACAAGGTTCACCTTTAAAGCTGGTAACTTGAGTCATTTAAGTGGCTCCTCCTCCCTGGCCTGTCCTCCAAGGGGCTTTGGCACGGAGTGGGTCAGTCTATGGAGAGCTCCAACCTGTGCACTCTGAGGTACCCCAGGAAGGAGCACTGATGAAAGCTAAGAACAGCAAGGTAGTTCTGAAATTTAAGTATCCAATAAGGTTACCAGCTCTTTCATAAACACTACATTTCCACCCATCACATTCAGCTACAATCCATCTCCACTTTTTACACTAAAGACTTAAGTCATTTTCCTCGTTGCCCAAGCTACATTATTGTTAAATCAATCATAGAAAGAAACTTTAATATAAGTTTATTTACCAATACACAATGCAAAAATCTAGTAAAATGCTGTATGCACAACATCAGTTAGGCTTTGTGTGATTTCAGCACGAGTGTTTGTGTGTCTGGCACAGCTACAAATGTAAACATCAAATGAATGCAACATTCCCTTTAAGGAAGAAAGAAGCTGAAAAGCTGAACATACTCTTGGGGCATCTTGCTTCATAGTATTTAATGTATCATCACTTAGGAGTGACTGGGCCACAAGCAGAAACATTTTGTGAGAAACAAAAAATCAGAAGGCTTCATGAGCCTGTGTTTCAGTTGTAAAGGAATCAAATGCAGCAGCTGCAGAACAGAATAATGGCAGAGTGCTTAGTTTGGGTGATTTCCAAGGCAGTTCCTGGTCACAGACTAGTACAAACCCCTAAACGCTGTTCTCACTGTGTGCTGGGCCTGCCATGAACAGGGGGCAGGAGGGGCTGCAGCCAGAATACTCTGCAGCATGTGAGCCCAGCGCCGGGCAGTGCACACGGAGTGAGATGGAGCTCCCTCCAACACAGCGCTGGGACGGGACACACAGCCCCTACCCAGAGCACAAGGTCAGGATTTTAAACAGCTTAGAGAGTGTTGCTTTTTCATAGGCTTACATCAATGCTGTTAAGACAGATACTATCATTAGTAATAACTTTAATTAGAAAAGTCAAGCGTTAAGCATATAAAACACCTTGTCATTAGCAACATGAAGGCTGGGTTATTTGTACAGTACAGGAAGCACTTCCAGATCAACACAAAATACAAGTTGAAAGAGCTCTTTGTCATCTCAGCCCCTTCACCACAGAAGAGAAGCAGCATAGTTGTAGTAAATTGCTGGATTAACGTTAACTGCATCTCAATTTATAAGCAAACAGAAAACCAGCAGCTCATAACAAAGGAATGCTTAGACTAAATCAGTTCCATGTGAAATACGGAACAGCAGCATCCTCTAGTGCAAGTCACCTTTAAAATTAAAAGCATAGCTGACAAGGAGACATTGCTTCTAGGGAAGCCCTTTCCAAGGGACTAGTATTTGCTAAAGCAAACATTTACCACCTTGAGTTAGCTTGCAAGTACAAAATAAATATTGATATCCATATTGCATACATTAAAAATACTTTATTTTACATTCATTTTGATGTTTAATAAGTTACATCTAGCACCAAAGAAACATTTTGGGGGGGCTGAGGAATTAAGAAGCTACAAAGTGTAAATGCAGAATTCACTTCAACATTTAAAGGACTCATTGGTGCCTAGATTTTTTCCTAAGTTATTGTTCGGATGGGCTTTACGCTATTGCTTCAGTTTAACTTAGATGTGCCAAAACAGTGTAGAAACATGAAAATCACAGATTTGAGGGGGAAAAAAAACCCAAAAGAACCAAAACTGAAACAGTTCTCTTAAACTCCCAGCTACATGCAGAACTGAGGCTTCATAACAGCATGGTATGGTAGTTAGGTAACAAGTTACAGGAAGAACCAAATTGCATAACTAGAATGCTGAAAAGAAAAACTGAGCTACCTTCCCAAAGGAGTAGGACAGAGAAAATAACCAAGGGTTTATACCTTATGAACTTGGTGTGCTGCATGTACATGCATATAGGGTGGAAGTGGTTATTAAAGCTACTCAGCACATTGCAGTTAGCTCCACTGCTGCCAAGAAGAGACAGTTTTGTCTCAAGTCTGCCACAACAAACCACTTACATATAAGCCAAACAAAGTATTACATCCCAGAGGACATAGCCCTTACCTTTTCTGAAGGGACATAACATCATAAGGTCAAAAGAAAAAGGCACTAGAGTTTTGGTTTTTTTCCTTAGAAATGCTGGCTTTGTAATTGTACCCCTTTTACTCTAAACTCACTGGTAACACTAGTTTGGTAATGCTGGATGTATTAAAGGAAACCCAGTTCTGATCAGAACAGCTCTGCCAAACTGCAGAATTAATACTGTTTTAAGATTTTGTCGTATCCTTACTGACTACAGCCCAAAGCATCAAAGCAAGATGACACTTCCAGATCTTGCACTCATATTGAAGCCATGTTGAAGTCAGGTTCCAAGTTTTGGTGTTTTGGTACACCTGCACTCCAGACGACCTGCCCAGCCTGCCTCCAGTCACAGCTTCCTGCTCCAGACACAACCAGCAGAGAGGCTTAGGCACAAGTAACTCGTGCCATCTTCCACATGGCAACCACTATTTTTTATTCATTTGGTTAAATACCAGCATGGGAACTGAAGGATGAAATGGGCATAAAATTTTTTTTCTAATCCTTCTTCAACATCTTTCTCTTAATCAATTGATACTGCTAGAATGGTACTGTGGGTCTGGTATTTGTGTTTCCTGTTGTGTTACATCCCAGCTGGTGCCCAGCTCCAGCAGCACTCCAGGCTGCAGCTGTCAGAACTGGAGGAGATCCCTCCCAAAGTGCACTCTTCTTCTACCTGTCAGTAAATTCAGATTCAACATACCTGGGATGCTACATTTCAAGGTATGTGAAATTAGAACCCTACAGTGGCTGGATTAAGCACTCCAAATTCAGGAACACTTTGTGCATTTTGACCAAATCCGCATCAATTGTTATTTCTGTTTTTAAAGACCAATCTCAGTGATCACACCCCATTTGAGAATCTTACTCCCTTTCCCTGACTTCCCAATGAAATTCAGGCAGCAGCTACACATCCTCAGCCCATGTGACCTCAGCAGTCAAGATCCCAGAGGAGAAGCGGGCTCCCCCAACAAGGAAAAACTGATTTTGCTGCCTGAGGCTGTCAACTTCTGCCAAACACCTCACTGCCTATTCTCCCAAACCCCACTTCTGGCCCAAATCAGGTACCTCTCTGTAGCTGACCCCTCCTCTGGAGCAGAGCACCACAGCTGCTTGGGATTCCTGACACTCCAGTACCAAGCAGGAAACGTCAAATCTACAGAGGGGTCTGTTTCAGGAAACTCACATCAAAGCAATTCCGGGATCAGCTGGTAGCTCTTTAAGAATCCCCCTCCATAGCACACATCCCTGGAGGCATCTCACCTACCACATTTCCTTCCTTCGTTCCTGCCACGGCTCACCCCTGCTTTATTCTCAACAGGAACTCTCATCCTGGTGTCCCCAAACCTTGTCTGTAGTTACTAAGGAGAATGTTCCAAAAGCTTAGCAATGGTCACAGAAGTCCCCGCTCACCTGCACCTGAGCACAGGACTTTTGTAAACTTCATTTTGCTGCCAGCATTATGCCAAAAAAAAAACAAAACAAAAGGTGAAGAAAGTTTCCAGCAAATGAAACTATCTCCTACCTTCAAAGAAAAGCAAGGATTACACTGATATTCATTTATCCAATAGTACGGACTAAAACAACTACTCTGGGACTACCGGACTTGAGTAAGTTCACGTGAAAAAATCTGTTCTAATAATGTACCCAAAAGCAGTGAAATCCAATGTAGAAGTTTCACAATTAAGTATTTTCCATGATCCAAAGCAAAAGTCTATTTGAACCACCATGGATCATGATGACTGTGGGGGTTTATGTATTTGCTCTTTTGTGTTTTTAAGCGACATGGTTTCTATATCTTTGGGGAGGGAAGGAAAAAATAACTGAGTCCTTGAGGCTGTAATGGGCCTCTGCTGTGTTTTTGTAGATCAACTGAATTTCATGAAGCATCCCTGGATATCCAACCACTTTCTGTCAGAAAGTTTAAAATCCTTTTCTTCAGTACCTTATCTAAGTAACTGGGAAGGCGACTCTTTGAAGGAATTCCTTGTCTTTTTTGGAGATGGTCTTTAATGATGATAGTTTTTACAGTCACGTAACGTGCAGGACTCAAGTTCAGAGAGCTGCAGAGCACCTTTTCCCTGTCCGATAAGAGTTCAAAGCCAGGCAGGTTTTCAATGGCAGCAAATTCACCTTCTTTACCCTCTTCCTTCCCTCTCTTGGAACTAGCTATGTTCTTGTTCTCCTTCCTTTTTTCCCGTTTGTGCCTGGCCGCCTCATACTCTGCCGACTCCTCCATTTTGGTGATCCCATTTCGCCGATACCGCTGCAGCTCCCGAATCTTCGCTCGAAGTATCCTCTCCTTGTGCATGTTCTCAAAGAAGTCTTCAAACTCCTTACAAGACATGAACTGGTACAAAGGCCTCAGTTTCAGCCTCAGCTCCTTTTCTTCTTTTGTGATCTTTCGTTTTGGAGCTTTCTCCTTGTCTTTTTTATCCTTCCCCAGGAAGGCCGGTACCAAATTATAATCTCGCGCAATGTTCTTCCGCCGTTGCCTCTCCTTGAGTTTCCTCACGTACATGTCCACATGAGCTCTTTTTAACTCAATTTCCACGTCGTCATCGTCATAGTTCACCGAGAGGCCGCTGATGAGCGTCTCGGCGTCCTGGTCGTACTCGATCTCGTAGTCGTCACGGAGCGGCATGTACCCCAGCTGCTGCTGCTCGGCCACCGAGATGTCCAGCGGCGGCAGCGGCGTCGTCAGGCTTGGAGACAGCGGGCCGCCACTGGGACACGTGTGGTCCGTCACCCTGTTCGGAATAGTGTCAGGGATGCAGGCTTTTCCCAGGTTGCCATGGATATACATGCTCACATAATGTTCCATCACCTCCTGAGGTGTTCGGGACGCTCCCACATGAGCAGCCATGTCCTCCTAAGCAGAAAAAAAGGAGGAGTGATAAAACGATTCTCATTACATCTCCAGCATAACGAGCATGCAGGAATGAACACGACTTTTTCCTTGCTCCCCAAAAGCCAACTCCCAGTACCTAAACTCCTCTAGCAATACTGGCCATATTTCTATCAGATCTGCGGTTTCAGCTCTGGATGAGTGTTTACAGTGCATAGAGGCAGGTAAGCCACGAAAACAGCACCACACAGTGATCCCTGAGCACCCATGGCACTCCCACGAAGCCAGCTCACCACGACCAGGAAGCTTTCCAAGTCCCAAGCCAACACCAAGAGCACTGTACAGCTTGGGTTTTGCTTCTTTATATCACATTGCTGAGGAGCAACACGAAAATAAACAACAGTATTTACTCTAAGATTAACAATATTTATTCTTTCCTAGTTATTTAACAGCTAAGCAAGCTTCAATGATTGTACACCTCAAGATTTTCAAAAAGTCTTTAATGAAGCAAAACATAAGTAACAACAAATCAAAAAATTATTCAAATGGTCTAGTGGAGGGCAATGAGGATGACTATGGGATTGGAGTGCCTCTCTTACAAGGACAGACTGAGGGAGATGGGCTTGTTCAGCCTCAAGAAGGGACAACTGAGAGGGGACATCAGCAATGTCCATCAGTATCTGAAAGGAGGTATCAGAGGATGAAGCCAGACTCTGCTCTGTGGTGTCAAGCAATAGGACAAGAGGCAACAAGCACAAACTGATGCACAGGAAGTCCCACATGTACATGAGGAAGAACTTCACCTGTGCAGGTGACTGAGCACTGGGACAGACTGCCCAGGGAGGCTGTGGAGTCTCTCTCACTGGAAACACTCAAGAACTGTCTAGATGCAATCCTGTGCAATGTGCTCTGGGATGACCCACTGTAGTCCTTTCCAGCCTGACCCATTCTGTGATTGTGAAATAATACTCTCTTACTGCTGCTTTTTAAAACCAAGTCTGGCTGTGCGGTGACCCTGAAGGCGAGCAGCCAGCCCGCAGCTGGGACATACTGAAGGCAAAGGCCGAGCACGAGTAAGAAGCAGCTGCAAGATCTGTGACACGGCCGGGCTGACGGGGGGCAAACGCACAACTTCAAGGAGCGACAGGTCCGAGCAGCCGGGTGCTCTCCTCGGACCAGCGGAGAGCCCGTCCGGAGAGACAGGGGCAGCCCGGGGTCCCGACGCGCCCCCGGGGCTGCTGTCAGGGCCGCTGGTCGGCGGAGGAGGATCGCCCCCGCCCCTTGTCCCTCGCCCCTCGCCCCTTACCCAGTTGCCGAAGCCGAACTGCTCGATGGCGTCCAGCAGCAGCTGCTCCTCGCGGCTGCTCCAGCCGCCCTCGGCCTCGGCGCCCCAGAGGGTGAAGCGGCCGCCGTCCACCAGCTGGTAGCCGTGCCATCGGCGGTGCGGGCCGATCTCGGCGCCCGCCGAGAAGCACTCGGGGCAGAGCTCGATGTCGGCGCACTCGGTGCAGCGGAAGCGGAGCGGGCTCACCTCGGCCAGGCAGTACACGCAGTACTTCTTCCCCAGTTCCGCCATCTTACCCCGCCCGCGCGCGCGCGCGGCCGCGCCCCCGGCGCCCGCGCCGCCAATGGCAGCGAGCTCGGGGGGCGGGGCCGCGGCGAGCACCGGCCAATGGGGCCGCGGCAGGCGGGCACGGGGGGGAGTCAGCGCGAGGGGACGGCTCCGATTGGCCGAGCCGGACCCGTCGGCCCTTCCCGCGGCCAATGGGAGGGGCCGCCCCCAGCGGAGCCACCGCGCAGGGGCCGCCCGCCAGGGGGCGGGGCTGCGCACGGGAAGGGGCGGGGCCGAGCGGGTGCCCGGCAACGGGAGAAGCGGGGCGGGGCCGCGGGAGGAGCCGGCATTGTCCGGCCGCTGCTGCCCCGGCGGGGAGCGGAGATACAGAGCTCTTCTCCCAGCTCTGCTCCTCCCGGCCCACGCAGAAAACATCAGGCTGAGGCGTGGAAAAAAAAGCTTTGTGACTACGCAACTTGCAGTAAACTAAGATTTCGCCTTTTCAAACAAAGGCAGGACAAGATATTTAAGCATTCCTGAGTTCTGTGCATGCCACAAAGGTATATTTACAAATATTTTTCACAATATATTTATCAGACCTCAGGCCTAGTCCAGAGAAAGACGTATAAAAAGGGATAAAACCATAGGCACAGTAAGTATGGGATCCTCTAAATGTCTCAGGGAATTTAGCAAGTATTTTAACATGAGAACTTGGAAAGCATCAACAAAAAGTCCTCTACCTTCTACACACAACTGGCCCAAAGTTCTCTTTCTGAACAGACAAAAACTTCTAAAGCCACCTGTGAAGAACAGTACTGGAATTTTTAATATCTGAACTACACTGACAACAGTGGATTAAGGTAACTTTACATGACTTTATTTAACAAAACCATTTATTTACAGTTGAAAAAAGTTCCAGTTTGATACACATATCTAAACAAAACAAACGTGGTAACTACATAACCCAATTTAAACATGATGTACAGGAGATGTACCAACACTTCTCTATATATCATTCTTGTTTTAAAACATTCAAAAATAAGCTGTTACAAGGTACCTTTTTTTTCCAAATGAAATTGTTTACTAAATGAAATAACATTAATGATTGACTGCAGATTGAAGTTGCAAAACTGCTTTATTATAAAGTGCAGATTGTAAAGAATCCCAAAGCTGGTTGGAGTTTTCTGGTTTCTCTGATCTGCTGCATGTACAGTGGTACTTTTCATGAATTGCAGCAGTTTTATTTTTCTTTAAACTCATGAAGAAACGAAAGTTTGCGTGATGGGGACATTTGCTCCATGAAAGAAAATCTCATGCATATTGTTACAGATACTTTCAAGTACCTGGACAATAAAATTGTCAATTTTTTTATGCAATTCCCTGAATTTCTTAAAGAAGATTTCTGTATTAGCTAATTAAGAGATTTCGTATACTGCAATAAACTTGAAAAGCTCAGTGGCAAGAAATTCTATGCCATTACTACTCAGCTCTGTTTTTATCAAAATTCAAGCATTACCTTCAAATCAAGTTATTGAGAAGTTGAAATAATTGCATGTTTAGGCAGGTGATTTTTTTCACATGTATTTTGTTTGAAAACAAACTGTGCAAAGCTCCTTATTGCATTGCTGTTTCTTCATTAAAGAACATACCTTATATACACAAAGAAATCATTTAGAAAATATATACAACTTCTAAGAACAGATCAAATCACAAAACAAAGTAATTACATTTGCAAGTAACAAACAGTGCACAAGTGTTGCAGCAGGCCTTTTCCCCACAACTATGCCCACTGTCATTGTTACATTCAACATCTTATTGAGAAGAGAAAAAGAACAGGCTGTCAATGGCTGCCAAGATACCTAGTAGCTAAAAAATGCATTTTTAAGCAGACAAATGAACCACACTTGTAGACTTGCTTTAAAAGAAGATACAAATGTAGTTGCAATGAAGACTTAAATCACAAAGCCAGTTACAGTACCACCTAAATACGTATATTGAGGAAAAAGTGATCTCTGTGTTCAATAAACCATTTAAAAGCATAGTGCAAATGTTTTGGATGGTAGGCCTCTCGTATTCTTTGTGGAAAGGCATATTTGTTGTAGTAATAGAAAAAGTAATATTAAAAAACACTTACTGACCTTCCTGCTTTCTATTGCACTTCAAAGCAATGGAGCATACAAGTACCAGTCACTGAGGACAAATTCTGTACAAATTCTGAGTGAATTAACATGTTTCCTATCACATCTTAATGTCTATTTTCAGTAAGTGATGACCTAGAAGATGTCTTGTGGAGGAATTAAGATGACCAACAAAAAACCACATCCATTACACCAGCTACATGAAGTGGACAGGAGAAGAGGTCAGTGAGGTATCGGACTTGCAGGCTGCATTTGCATTACACATCTTTCAAAGTGATTGTGAGTCCTCACTTACCAGGGAGTCTTGTTCTCACTCTTCTTAAAGTTACAATCAAATTATCCCTCATAGAAATAATGTTTGTACACCAAAGGACAGTGTGTTTTGATTATGTCCCACAGTCCTTCACACTGTATGCTGAGTTGAGCAGTGTGCAACTATTCTTCTTGGTTTTATTCAGACAATGCCAAAATAATCAGCATAAATCAGCTGATGAGCACTGGGAAACTGCTGACCATACAGCTGGAGGATTTAGTAATGCCTGTTCACAGTTAACACAAATATTGCTTCATTACATTTCCCTTTTCAATCATTATCGTTAGTATAAAATAGGCTTTACACTATATATTATGCAATAAACATTCTTGTAAATCAGAGGCACTCATGATTTGCCCTTCAATATTCACCTGAATGCAGAGAGGATCTAAGATGTATGAGGGATTTATGTAACAGCAGTTTGCTGCTGCTGCTGTAACTCACTCTCATGTATTAGGGGTCGGATAAAACGCTCAGAAATGACAGCTTGTACTTCTTCTGATGGTGTCTGGCACGTTTCCCAATGAATTTCTTTCACTTGTCACTCTATGGATCAGCTCCACATAACTTTCCCACTATGGCAGCAGCAGCAGCTTCAGGAGATTACACAAAACCTTTTCTGCAGCAACACTGGCAAATATCAACTGTTCTCCTACTGCTCTTCCTCCTTAGTTCTGCCAGTGAGCAAAGCTGGATTTAAAGCTACCAAAGTTGCTTTAACCATTTCTCAGTTTATCTGCTAAGTCCAGTTTTATCTCCATGACTGGACACATGGCACATGAATAAGTAGCTGGTAGGCAAGAACATCCCAAAAGAGCAGGGTGCCAGGAGAGGGACAGACACGTGGAAACATTTAGTAGTATGTGACCTCGGCTTTAAGCAGAGGAAAGAGAGCACAATTGGGAAACAATGCCACCTTAATACTAGAACCCTCTTGGTGAGTTTGGAATCTAGTCTGATGGATGGAATTTCCTCCATATGCATCCAGATTGGAAAAATAAATTTCCAAGGCATCTTGAAGAATAATTAATTTTGCACTGCTAGTTTGACTTCTCCTCCAAGCTTACCTTCTACTTAACTTTTTCTTATTAAAGAAAGGAATGTAGTTCTATGTCTACATGATTTCTTTGGTAAATGGGACCCACAGCCTATAAAATCAGAAGCATTTCTTAAGAAATGGTCCTTAAAATTCCAGCACCAGTTATCTAAAATCCAGATCCAGCTACTGTTACAGGTATTGGAAATATATCCTGCCTAAGAATGAAACGGGAATAGCTGTCAAAGCAACCAACACTGCTGAATGTCCAATCTTAAAACATCTAAAAAAAAAAATTTAGAAATTTTTTTTCTTAGACCCTTGATATTATTTTGTTTCACTGCCCTCATCAGAAGTACAGAATGTGTAATGCTCTCCACAGCATATGCTCATACTACTAAAAATTTAAGGCTAAGCCTAGGTTTAATTTATAAGGGGTTTATCCCCTAATGTCCTTGTTTCTTTCATTTTTTTTTCACTCCTCCTCCTCGTTTTTCTTCTCTCCCCCTTAAGGCTATTCTACTACTAAATATAACTCTGAACTAACACTTTGATTTGCAGGCTCACATGTCAGACAGTAATCAGTACTTTTGCCACTTTAGCTCTTTTCCCGGGAGTCACTGGAGGCAAACCCAACATTAACGTTTGAGTGAAGGACTTCCTTTTTCCATTTCCCGGTTATCTTTTTGCAGAGCAGCCAGTATCTAGACATTTCAAGAAATGAGAGAGAAGAAAAGCATTAGATTAAAAAAATTACTCATAAATTCATTCTGAAGAGTTCCCAATTATGTTTGAGCAGTACTATTGTAACTATCACATGTAATTAAATTTAGAGAACTTCGCCACTGACAAGAGACCTCTCCCATAAGTCCTTGTGACATGGTGGATAGAAACACATTTATGATAGGTTTAAACTCCATCTCCCCCTCCAATACACACTTTCAAAGCCTGTGATTTGGGGTATTTGGCACAACAGGATCCTTATCTCTCCTTTCCCATGAGGGAAGTAGCAGCAAGCTGGGAAGTTATTTGGAATGCAATCCTCATGCACACATGGTATGTTCAAGGAAGGTGAGAAAACTGAAAAACCTGTGGAGCCACTCCTGCTGTGAAGGTTAGAAATCCTCATCTCAAAGATAAAGCTGGCAATCCCCAGCATCTACAGGAACTGCTACCCCAGGAACCAGAAACACCCAGTTGCAGCTGGATTTCCCCAGCCACTACGTTTAACACCACCTTTTGTTTTCTCTGCAAAAAAGCAATTGGATAAAATGGGAAGAGGTCTATTATGGAATGCCTCACAAATTGGACTGTATTGCTGCTTTGAACAAAGAGGAAAAGAAAAAGAGGGAGCTTCCTCTCTCCAACATGAATGGCTGCTACAGCCACTTAATGATTTCCACGTTCAGATGACACATCTTTTTTCTTTAAACTGGAATTTAGTTGAAATTACAGCGATGAAACAATTTCTGAAATCACATGCTAAATCCCAATAAGGAAGTCAGAGATGCAATCACTTCTTTAGAGCCCAAAATTAGGCAGAGTAGAGAT